CTTATATATATATATATATGATATCAAGTTGATCTTAATTTTATTAGAAATACAAGAAAATTATCTCCAATTTCTATGTTGAGCCTAAGAGGTAATTATGCCATCTACTATTGTTAAAAAATACAAAATTGCAACATTTCAGTTTAGACCTTCGCTTACTAATTTAATCATAACTTAAGTTCTAGATCTCTTTTTTAATTGATTCTAATGGAATTTGAAAGCTAACATTTAGGAGTACAACTTTTATAGAGATTATAGAAACTAATTCTATCATTTAAGTCTACTTGAAAGGATTACAACGTACATATGTTACATTTTACACATAAAATATGATGCTCATCTTTTAACTCACATAACTTGGTCATTTCTTAGCACTTTTATTTGATTCTTAAGTCTAATCTATAGCACCAAATGTGTACTTACTAACCCAACAATCGAAACTCAATTTCATTAATCACACATAGAGAAATCACATAAATACCAAGGTATGTTCTTATTAGAATTTTCAAAATAAGGCATAACTCGCACACAAACACTTTTCTTCCAATCCAATCGAAAAAATATATAAATTAAAGTCTAATACTACTCTATTATACCATCAATTACTCAAATACAAAATCAATTTCACATTCTAATTACATACTCCTATTAACTACTCACATAATAACATTTAGGGTTCAAATTCACATACAATCCAAATTTCACAATTATATGTTTAATAACAAAATTAGAGACATATACAACCATACTACATCAAATAGAATAATAAAGAATCATATGGAAGATCAAAAAACACATAATGAAATCAATTGAGAAAATCCCCTTCATACAATACAAGCAATAAAGAAGGGATTGAGGGTCAATCCTACTACCTAACATATACATTCTAACTCATTCCTAGAGTGAGACTACTCACTCCTCCTTTACCTCGATGAAGGACGTAGATATTTGACATGTTAACTCTAGTTTTCCTTCTCATTCTTTAGAATGATAGAAAATGAGAAGCTTAAAAATAAAAGAATTTTTGGAACCCCTTTTTTAAAACTTAATTCATACTTAACCCTTTAGTAAAAATTCTTTAACTGTAATTGTCTTTTT